TTGTTTGTGACTTCTTGGATGTTTTTCCAGAAGATTTGACAGAGTTGCCTCTACACCGAGAAGTGGAGTTTTCCATTGAGTTAATGCCAGGTACCGCGCCGATTTTTATGGCACCAGTTGAACTGGAAGAATTGAAGAGGTAGCTTGATGATTTGAGGATGAAAGGTTTCATCCGATCGAGTGTGTCACCGTGGGGCGCACCGGTCTTGTTTGCTAAGAAGAAAGATGGTTCGTTGAGGTTGTGCATTGATTATCGGAAGTTGAATCATGCCACCATCAAGAACAAGTATCCTTTGCCAAGGAAAGATGATTTATTTGATCAGTTGAGGGGAGCCAGTTGTTTCTCGAAGATTGACTTGAGGTCTGGCTATTATCAGTTGCGGGTTAGGGATGAGGATATCCCGAAGACAGCATTCCGTACACGGTATGGACACTATGAGTTCCTTGTTATGCCTTTTGGCTTGACTAATGCGCCAGCGGCATTCATGGACTTGATGAACCGCGTCTTTCACGATTACTTGGACCAGTTTGTGGTAGTTTTCGTGGATGACATTCTTGTGTACTCACGGACTCGGGAAGATCACGAGGTCCATTTGAGTATTGTTTTACAGATTTTGCGGGAACACCGATTGTATGCCAAATACGAGAAATGTGAGTTTTGGCTATAGGAGGTGAAGTTTTTGGGGCATGTTGTTTCAGAAGGTGGAGTATCAGTTGATCCATTAAAGGTTGAAGCAGTTTTGACTTGGGAGCGACCCAAGAATGTGTTTGAGATCCGCAGTTTTCTTGGTTTAGTGGGTTACTATCAGAGATTTGTGAAGGATTTCTCCCGTTTGGCAGCTCCTATGACCCGTTTGACCCGGAAAGGGGTCAAGTTTGTCTGGAATGAGGCCTGTGATTCATCTTTTCAGGAGTTGAAGACGAGATTGACTACAGCTCCAGTGTTGGTGATACCTGAGCGAGGCTTGGGTTATGTGATCTATTGTGATGCTTCACGTGACGGGTTGGGATGTGTGTTGATGCAGGATGGTAGAGTAGTGGCTTATGGGTCTCGACAGTTGAAGACTCACGAGCTTAACTACCCTACTCATGATCTGGAGTTAGCGGCAGTTGTGTTTGCCTTGAAGTGTTGGAGACATTATTTGTATGGTGAGAGATTCGAGGTATACTCGGATCATAAAAGTCTCAAGTACCTTTTTTCCCAAAAGGACTTGAACAACAGACAGAGACGATGGGTTGAGTACGTGGAAGATTAGAACTTTGATTTGCAGTATCATCCGGGCAAGGCAAATGTTGTAGCTGATGCCTTAAGCCGAAAATCTCGTGGAACTTTGGCCAGTTTAGCTATTCGGAAGTGGAAGATGCTTAAAGATCTGGCAGAGATGGGATTACAGTGTTTTGATGATGATGGTTACAGTGAGTCGGCATTCTTATTTAGTCTTGTGGCTCAGCCTACTCTTGTTGTACGAGTGATTGAGTCACAGAGACAGGACCCGGACTTAGATGCCATCCACGCTTTGATCTCTAGTGGTGAGACAGTGAAAGATTGGGCCTTGCATGCAGATGGGGGTCTACTGTTCAGGGGTTTGTTGGTGGTTCCCACAGTTTGTCGTGAGGATGTCCTACAGGAGTTTCACACTTCCCGTTTTGTAGTTCATCCAGGTGGTACTAAAATGTATCACAATTTGAGACGTCAGTATTGGTGGAGCGGGATGAAGAATGATGTTGCACAGTTTGTGGCTAGATACCTTACCTGTCAGCAGGTGAAGGCCGAGCATCAGAGGCCAGCTGGTTTGTTGCAACCATTACCTGTAGCGCAATGGAAATGGGAGCATATTGCTATAGATTTTGTGACAGGTTTTCCAAGGTCACGGAGGGGCAATGAGGCCGTATGGGTCATCATTGACAGATTGACCAAGACGGCTCACTTTTTGCCTATTAAGGCAACAGATGATGCAGAGAAGCTTGGTGTTCTTTATGTGAAGGAGATTGTAAGGTTGCATGGAGTTCCTGTAACCATTGTGTCAGATAGGGATGCTAAGTTCACTTCGAAGTTCTGGGAAGGACTTCAAGTAGCGTTTGGTTTAGCGTTGCATCTTAGTACGGCATTCCATCCACAGACGGACAGTCAGTCGGAGCGTACTATCCAGATTTTGGAGGATATGCTTCGGGCATGTGTACTTGATTTGGGAGGTAGTTGGGAGGATCACCTTCCACTTATTGAGTTTGCCTACTACAACAGTCAGGCGAGCATCCAGATGGCTCCATTTGAGGCGTTGTATGGTAGACCTTGTAGGTCTCCTGTTTGTTGGACTGAGGTAGGTGAGACAGCCGCCTTAGGACCTAACATTGTACTCGAGACTACTGAGAAGATTAAGTTGATAAGACAGAGGTTACTTACAGCTCAGAGCCGACAGAAGAGCTATGCGGATAAGCGGAGACGACCGTTATCCTTTGAGGTGGGAGACCACGTTTTTCTACTGGTTTCTCCATGGAAGGGATTGATGAGATTCGGAAAAAGTGGCAAGTTGTCGCCACGATTTATTGGACCGTTTGAGATTTTGGACCGAGTAAGAGAGGTTGCCTACAGGCTTGCTTTGCCACCACAGTTGGATAGGGTCCACAATGTTTTCCATGTATCGATGTTACGGAAGTACGAGCCAGATCCATCTCACATTTTGAGTTGGGTTAATATGGACATTGATGAGGATGTTTCCTACGAGGAAGGACCAGTTCAGATTCTTGACACACAACAGAAGGTGTTGAGGAACAAGACGATACCAATGGTGAAAGTCCTTTAGAGACACCACGGAGTCGAGGAGGCTACTTGGGAGCTTGAACAGGAGGTTTGCTCCAAGTATCCAGCGTTGTTTTCTTCCTCAGGTATGTCTTGATTTCGAGGACGAAATCTGTTAAAGTTGGAAAGAATGTGATGTCTGTATCTATTAGTGTGTGTGGTGTAATTTAAATGAAAAAGAAAAAGAGAAAAGAAAAGTTAATGAGTGGGACCCACAAGCATTTAAATGGTCATGAGACCATCTTTGCTTTCATTTTTTTTTTTTCTCATTCCCGTAAGGTTATCTCTCTCGTCCAAAACTCCTCCTTTTTTTTTTTTTTTTTCTTTTTTGGTTCCAATCTTCAAGCTTTGATTCCATCTTCATTACTTGCCGGATTTAGGTGCCGTTAAAGGCAAAACGACGAGTGTGACGAGCTCTACGTTCTAGTACCAGCAATTCCAATTTTGCTACCTTCCTTGGAGCTAAAAAATTTAAACCCATTTCTAGGGTTTTGCCTATTTTGAGGTAGGGGCATCTTAATCCACTCTAGTCTTGTTCTATTGTGAATTTTACCTCTATGTTGGATTAAATATGCTTAATTTAGAGTTAATTATATCTATGATGGTATTAATGATGTCTAGAGGGTTTTCACGATCTTGAATATGGTTGGTTCATGTGCAAATTATATTTAGTTGTTGATTTCCTATGTTTACTATGTGCTAGCATGCTGAAATTGATGTATGAGAGTATGCTTATTTAAATTGCGCCAAATTTCCCAATTAATGATGTTGAGCTCATATATATATATACATGCACATGCTTAAATGTATTTTGTTGTATTTTAATGTGTTAATAATTACTTGGGAGATGTTGAACATGTTGAATGTTTAATTTTATGATGGAAAATTTTAAATGCCATGACATTGAATATATGGAACATATATACATGCACATACCATTGGGTTTGCATGAAATGGGAGAAATTGTTCTTGAAATAAATATGGGGAATTTCAGAGAAGTGTTTTTGATAAAATGGTTTTATGCGAAACCCGGTCGCTGCGGGATTACCAACGGGCCGGAGGTTAATATAGCCTAGAGGGGACTAGGGAGTCGCCCTAGCGTGGTTGAGCTAGCTGGGGCCCATAATGATGCCGCGGGGTTACCAAGGGTCAGGGACACTAGCCAATCCTCCTTTCGTGTCGCGGCGGGGTTACCAAAGGGCGGGCTGTATTAACGTTTGAAAGTGATGATTTTGAGAATGAAAATGGGGAGTGTCATGCATTGCATGTCATTTCATTGCATTGCATCGTTTATACTTGGAATTGACTTGTATGTTGTATTTGATCCCCTACGTTGTATGATCCCTATCTCCCATTGGCCTATGCTTTGCTTGAATTCATAAGGACACAAGATTTGTGTCTTAAGTGTCACCTACTGAGCATATAGCTCACCCTACTATTTATACATTTTTTTCAGGTCTTGGAAAAGAATCGGTGGACGACAACCCACCTCAAGCTTGAGCGATACTAGAAGCTTACTTTTGTGTCTTTTGTATATTTCCCATTATTTTTGCAAAGCACTAAAAGTATAAAGGTATATATGTATATTTTGCAAAACTTTGTCATGTAACCTTGTTGATGAATGGGAAGGATAATTTTAGTTAAAGTAATTATCGGTGTTATTTGATTGTGTATGATCATATACTGTTGCCGTGAATTCGGAATTTGAGCCATGATAGGTTAAAAATGAATTTAAACAGGGTATGGTAGGCCTATTTTTAGGGGAGGTTATGCCGAATTTTTTGTAAAATTCTTGGCATCAGCTAGGGTCGTTACATTATTATTGTTTTAAAAATAGATAAATGAGAACACTAAAATGAAAGTAAGAACTTGTTTTCCAACTTATCTATAGCAAATTTTCTTGTTTTTTTGCTCTAACAATTCTCCCACTTTGGATGGAAGTAAAACGGTGAGTGAGAAGGGATGGCACATCCCTCCATCTTTTCTATTCCTCAGACTCTTCCCTCCCACCAAACAATGAAGACAGTTGTTATTGGCCTTATTTCCAACAAGTGTTTAGATACACTTGCATATATATATATATATATATATATATATATATATATATATCCTTTTCTTTATTTCTTATTAAGCATATGGTCATGGACTGCTGTTCATACAACTAAGTTTCAAAACATAGCATGTTAAAAACCCAAATTAAAAAATGAAATTAAATGATATATATACTGCAAACTGCAAATACATAAATGGCTGTGAAATTCTATATATATATATATAAATAAAAATAATAATCTGGAACTATACACTATCCATCTCCATCATATATAAATAAATAAAGAATACAATCAATGAATGATCAAACACATGAACACAAACAATAGCGTGATGAACTGCATGATCATATCATCATGAACTTGAACTCATCAAAATTGAGTACCCCATCACCATTGAGATCAAATTGAGCTATCATCACTTTACATTCATCAACCGACTTGGACTGACCTAGTCTACTAAGCATCCTCTTCAAGCTTTTCGCCGTAATACACCCACTCCCCTCCATCTCATACATCCTAAACGCCTCTCTCAAATCCTTCATCTTCTCTTCCTCTTCCACTCCTTCCATCAACCTCACAAAGTCCTCCAACCCCAGCAATCCGTCGCCGTCCGAGTCCACCAACGCCACTGCCTCCTCCACCTCCGGCAACGATAACTCCCCTCCTATTGACCCAATACAAAGCTGCAGCTCCGTCGGCGATATCTTCCCGTCTCCATTCTCGTCAAAGTGATTAAAAACACCCTCGTATTGCTCCTGTTTGTTCATAGCTTCCATAGCTGTTGGCAGCAATATCGAGAGAGAAAGAAAAAAGAAAAAAAGAAGAAGATATATTCTATATACACCAAGATGATATACAAGAAGGCCTAGCTTGTCAATGAGCTGTGTGAAATAAAAGAGTTGATGAAAATCCTACAGATATATATATATATATCAAGATAGAAAGAGAGAGATGAGAATTCTAAGTGAATTACGTCTGTATATACCAAGAATATATACAAGAATGTCTTGTTAATGAGCTTATATATATGTGTGAACTAAAAGAGTTGATGAAAATCCTGCAGAGAGATATATAAATTGATCAGGTTTGAGTTGCAATTGAGAGATGCAGCGATTGAGTTTTATTGCGTTGGAGAGTTATATATATATGCATACACATATGATGAAGCCGCGTTAGATCGTTGAGGAAGCAAAATTGTGCAAAGGCTATGTCGGACAAAAGAAGCTTCATTTGTTTCCCTATATGAAAAGGTGGTTTGACCATTGACATTGAAATATGCGTAACGTAAGTGTAGTCGTCAAATAATTTAAGAAAATGAATCATCCAGGAAGTGACTCAAATATTATTCTTACACGTGTCCCATCCTCTCCAATTTGTATGCGTGTCCCATCCTCTCCCATTTTAAATTATTTACGCAAAAATTACACATTCATTACGCAACATCTTCAAATCCATCATATAACTATTGTGTTGTTTCAGCATCTTGTATGATAAGAGGTGATCCTAATTTATGTATATAAAACTCGATTTCTCTCGTGACCTGTTTTCATTCAATATTTATTTTGTGTTTATTTTATTTTATTTTATTTTTTTTTTTACGTTATTTATGCAATGTGTTACAAAAAATTGCTGCAAACTCAAGTAATATAAATTAAGAAAATACGTCAAAAATTAATCCAGGCATACAAAAAGAATACAAAGATTTAGGGTGATTTGACAAAGCATACATCTACTAAGATTCAGTGAAAATTTTCATCATACGAAAAATAAGTTTTGAACCCCTCATACATTTTCTTTTTAACGATCTTCAGTATCTCAATCTTTACCCACTCTAAATCCTAAATTCCTTTATATATCGAATTATAAGAGAGTGCTAATTAAGATATGACCTACAATAAAAACAGATAAATTTTTTTTTTTTTTATTTTTTTTTTTACGTCCAACAAAACATCAAGTTGTAACCCGACTCGTCACCAAATTCATACCAAAAACATCACACAACAATTTATTATTATTTATAAAACAATTACTCTACAACGAAATTTTATAGTATAACATTTCTTCGTGAAATTGTGGGAATTCCCTCCACAAGAGGAAAGAAAGATAAAACGGCTACACATAATTTCCTCTGCAAGAAAGGATCCGTGTAAATGAACAGAGAAATTCGAATGTTCTAGATGAATAATAATATATACGATAAATGACATATATGGTTAACCGTCGAAACCGCTATAACCACTAATTAAAAATCAAAAGTAGGTATAAGACACCGGCTTGGACCAATATGGAGGTAGTTCGAGTGACTTCTTGTAGTAAAGATAAATATAAGTCAATGCTGGTCCCAATTAATTAAGAACCATCCATCATGGTTCACGAGTTGTACTGCACCGTCCATGGTGGTATATATTATATATACATATATTATTTATGAATTATTGCAGCTAGCATTCAATATTTAATTACTAGTCTAGTACCTACGGAACATTTTTCACGTGATAAGGCATAAATAATACATAATACCATTGATATATATACTATATAGTTTCAAATATAATGTAATTTGATTCTTAAATTTCATTCAATTATTAATTATCATGGAACTCACCTCCTTTTTAAAACTAAAACGTTTTAGTCATACAAAAGTTTTTGTTAATTTGAGACATTTCCTCTTTAGTTAAAGGTCTCACCTCTTTCAAAGAACGCACGTAGTCAAATTCGAGGAGGTTTACAAATAAAATTAATAAGAATATCACATTAAGAAGTTAGTTGATAAACAAGTTGGGCTTATCTGCTGAAAAATGCTAGTTTAAAAAATTCTCTCAACTCACACAAAATTATAATTTTTTAAATGAATACCAACAATGAATGTTATTTAGTGGTATTTCTTTATCTCTCAAAATATAAAAGTGAGAATGTAACTTTATTTTGAAATAAAAATAAAAATCTCTCAAAAATATCTAAAGTATGCACTCACTCCAATAATGAAAAGTTTATACGTAGTAATTTCCTTTTTTTTTATAAAATTAGTTTACTCCAAATTAAAAAGTTAGTATTTTGTTTTTTTCGAAATAGAAGAAAATGAACTTAACAAATGAATGATAAATAAAATAAGAAAGGGGAGGACACACTTGAATAATAAAAACCGGATGCCTCAATGGTATACCTATAGAAGAAATTTGGCGAACATTAGGTAACAAAAGAATAAATTGGCTAGCAAATTTGTGGGTGGTGAAGATTGTTGAAAATATAATCTTTATATGGTAAAATACACCTGTTTGATTCAAATTTTTGGTGAAACTTGATCCACTAAAAAAAATTAAACAAATTCGCACCATCTGAACCGAATCTATTATGATCTTTTTGTTGGGATTTATATGCCCTGGCATAGCAAATTCCTATCTGGATTGTATTGACATATGTTCCTGACATATCTGAAATATTTATGATTTATATAATTGGTGAATTCAATGTATTATGTTTCAATTCACTATGAAATTGATAGTGTCCAGTTAATTACAAGGAATATTTATATATATGTATGTGATGACAATCAATGCATGATATATAAATAGTAATTATAAATTGTTCATAGTCGGTAATTATGGATGGACTCATAATTAATTAAGACTTGAACTGGATCCGCGTTAGGTTGAGATATATTGCGAGAGCCGTCGTATGCAATTACTCCCTATCACCGTCATGGCATTTGACTCTTAAGTATGAGAAAAGTATAGACTCTTTTATTAATTAATAATTACTTTGATTTGTTCGGCGGATTCTTCGGGATCCTTAGACCGACACTTTGGGTAGTTATGTAATTAATAGTTAGAGGGTTATATTTTCAATATTTGCATCATTGCTACTTGTATTTATTTTGTATTGATTATGGTTGATCACAAAGTAAATTCGAAGGCCTTCGTGTGTTTTTAGACAAAATGATTTATTATATATTTATTTATTTAAATTATTATTTTTGTCAAACAAATGTTTTATTGTGATCGAACCAGAAATAATCAAAGGTACCAAAATAAATATATTAATTAAGTAGTCGGATTGATGGCTATATTTATCCGATAACTAATTATGCATAGAGGGGTCAAAGTGCAATATTGACTTAGAGGTTATTTATTATTTAATTGGAGTTCAATTAATTTCTTTTAGTGGAGTAGAAATTAATTTATGAATTAATTGAATTGGGTCCATGGACCGGGCCAATTATTAATTCATTGTAGCCAATAAAATAATAGGCCCAATGGATTCTCACTCATAGCCCAACTTGATATTGGAATCATATTAGATTTGAGACATATGAATTAGAGATGGAGAAGGATTTGTTGTTTCCTTTTCTTTATTTTTATGTTGCCTATAAATATACATGGTCTATGTATATTTTGGGGGATGATTTTTATGAAAAAAAAAAGGAATAAATTTTCTCTCTCTAGAAAATTAGGGTTTATGTTCTCATCTAATGGAGGCTCCCACAAGCCTAGTTTTCCAAGGTCATTCAAGGAGGCTTATGAGTGATTCCTAAAGGCAAGACCATTACCAAGAAGATGGAGATCCATGGAAAAGATGTCTAGCAAAAGGGATCTACAATAAGTGAGAACATTCACTTTAGAGGAGAGATCTGAGGTTTACTCAAACCTTGATGTAAGTATTCAATCTTTTAGTTGAATAATACATCATAATTTATTTTATTTTTTTTTGCATAAAACTTGTCTCTATGTGATGAATCAAGATCTGTGAATTTAAATCCCTCGAAAAGTTTTTAAAACTAGCACGTTTCCCAACAGTGGTATCAGAGCATGGTTTGATTCATTACTAGAGATCATGATTTTATGAAAATTATCATTCATGGATCCAAAATTATATTCATATATATTTTTATTGATGTATGTTGATATATGATTTAATATGTTGATATATATTGATACATAATGATGTATGAATGATTGTGAATGAATGATGATGTATGGTTGGGCCATGGATGAAGCTTATAGGTTAAATTAATGTAATTTTATCTTTGGATGAATGTAATTAAGGCTTTGATTTAGCCGTTTGAAAGTTCAATGATGTAATTTAATTTTTTCCATTGTATTTCAAATTGTAAATATTTTTAAAGCCATGTAATCTTCGTCAAAGGATGCTATGAAGCTTTAAGAAGGTCCAAAAGGATTAAATTATGCTTCAGTAATTTTCTGGAATTTTTCCGAATTTTTTGGAATTTTTCTGGAATTTTTTGAGGCTTAATTTAATTTTCTGGCATTTTTTCGGATTTTTTGGAATTTTTCGGCGTTTTTCCGGTAGCCGGAGCTTCGCCGGCGGCGAGAAGGGGCGTCGGAGGTGGCCCGGATCAGGTGTGGCGTCAAGGATGGTGAGCCTGGCGCGTGTTCCACACGCGCCAGGAGAGTGCACATGCTGGCGCGTGCATTGCACGCGCCAGCCAAGGGAGCTTGAACTCCACGCGCGTGAAGGCGCGTGGAGGCGCGTCCCACGCGCCCCAGGCGCGTGGGAGGGCGTGAGTGTGCATTCCACGCGCCCCAGGCGCGTGCCGGCGCGTGGGAGCGCGTGGGAGCACGTGCAGCTTGCCCTAGGCGCGTGCCAGCGCGTGTGAGGTCCTTCGGGCTCGTTTCAAGCGGCGTTTTGCTTCTCCTGACGCGTACAAGCTTCCTATGGGTGTTTACAGACAGTTGAAGGATGCCCGTACAGCAAGAATAGGTTTTAAATGTTAAAAGCTGAATCCATTGGCCATTTAATTTGCTTTATCTGTCATTTATTGTTGTATGTGATGCATGAAATAATTAATTGCTAATTATTATTGTTCATGCATTGGATCCATGATATTTATTTAAATGGCTTGATTTATATTAATTAAATTATGAAAATTAATTGGATTAGATTACTAATTAATTTGAGGGCACTTATTGGGAAACGAAAAATTGTTTTTGTAAATTATTTTTAAAGTATGCTTCAAATTAAATATTAGTGAATCGTTTAAAGTCCAAATATTTTCTAAATTTAATTGGATTAAAATCAAGACGTTTTGCATGCATTATATCATGTAAATGAATAAAATGAAAACCCTAATTATGAATGATTAAAAAT